GTTATCCCCCCCCCACCCCCCCCGGTGCCGGTCGCTTGATATTACTCTTTTTTGTCGAGGGCGTTACATGCGGCGGCTGGCTGATGCCGAGCTTAATAACCGGGCGGGGGAAGGGAAGGCTTGAAGGGTTTCTACTTGATGGGAACCGGGGACAAAAATTTGAGACCACACAGTTTTTATCCCAAACCACCGTCTTTCTACACGGCAAAAACAAGAACACTCCGACAAACGGAATACCTTCTCCACCCCCCCCACCCAAATCCCAAGCCCCATCGACAAATCAGCACAAACGCAAACACGTGCGGCTTTCGCAACGTACAACCGGAGTGGGTAACACAGGGTCGCCAAACAGGACACCGCAGCAGCAGTGGGTCGAATTATGTTCACGTGTACGTATGTGTACCAACGCTGTCATATCCCCCCCCTGGTGTGATAACAGGCAATATTTCTTGGTTCGTTCAGAGCGTGCGGTGCAAGAGCAGCACCTGCCTGTCGGTGCTTGCTGCGGCTCGAGACTTGTTGCTCAGTAGCCTAATGGACACCCCCCCCGCCCCCAAAAATACAGCACGATCACCGGTGGTGTGATGATATTTACCACCAACGAAACCACGCAACATTGCCCAAAAGAGTGAGGGGTTGGGGACCCCTCTCCCTTTTCGCTGTGACCTTTTTCAGAAGGAACCAAACCCGGCATGGATAAACACGACGACTTCCCTCCTTTCGTCCTCTCGTCGAACTCGCCCGCGTGGCACCCTTTTACTACATGCTTCGCGCCGCCGCCGCCCCCCCCCAATGTTCGTTTAAAAGAAAGTTGCACGACCTTTTGTATAGTCATCACGCTTGCACTAAAAACAAAATGTGGCACGACATCATTATCGTCTTACAATTCTCAAAAGTCAAAACCGAAATGATACTACAGCAGTATCTACACTCAAATGGGGATACATCAACTGCTGGTTCAGCAGTAGGTGGATCCAAGATTGATTCTCAATCTGAGAACTGCAAGAGGCCGGCAGTGCACGATGCCTGCTCTGCTACTTCTGCCACCCTCCTCCGGGTGGCCCAAGCTGCTAGCGCCCGCGCGCTAGGCCCCTGGCGTGTAAAAAGCATTCCCACGCGGTATCCTCCCGATACATCGGTCAGTGAAAAAAGTGAAAAGGGCTCAGGTTGGTCCGGCCAACAACGCGGTGGTCAGCGGAGCCCCCATGTACAAACAAGCTGTGCCCTTTTTGCCATCACACACAAATGCCCACCAACACTTCGCTCGCATCGACTCTCTCGATCCTCTTTTGTACACAGCGCGAAAAAAGGAAAACGCGTTGAAGCACGCCCAAGGACAAAAAACAAATCTCGACGACACCGTTGCTGCGATCCCCCCCTTGAAAAACAAGCCACACGTAGCATGTGCGGCACCCCCTTTCCTGATACTTTACAAGCTCATGGTCCTAGCCTCCTCCAAATCTCTTGCAACGGTCGTAGCAAGCAGGTTGCCGTAACGGGGGACCCCGTGCGACGGTTCCAGACCGGGAGGGGGGGGGGGGGAGGGGGGGGCGT